GTTGAATTTTATCAAAAAGCTGCTGAACAAGGACATACTAGTGCACAACACAATCTTGCCTCATGTTATGAGGATGGGGGACCATAGAATCTGACAATTATGTCTGCGATCGCACCCGTAGAGCTATTGGTACCGCATGCCGTGACGACAGGACTGAAAGCTGTTTTGAATACGTCTTCGCTACATGCTGGATTTGTACAGAATTGATCTAAAAATTGCGTCTCTAACTTTTCTACGTCCGCCGTAGTTACAGGAGGCGCACCCGATAAGAGAGTAGAAATGTCGTAGCAAGCAATCACGTTTTTGTCGGTTAAAACACCTTGGAGAGATGCTTCGCATTGCTGAGATACCCCTGGTCCTCCTAGTCCTCCTCCTCCTGCTCCTCCTCCTGCTCCTCCTCCTCCTCCGTATTGACCGGCTACTAGCATCGCCGATGCAAGGACTAAGGTTGAGACAAGTGCTAGTTTCATTTCGTAGTTGTGTGAATTCGTTTATTGTAAAGCGTTCGTGAGATTGAGAATTTTCTCGATGAGAAGAAAAAAGGTAGGGCGAGATATATTTATACGCATTACTGAAACAGTTGTAGGTGCGCCACTGCTTCGAGGTGTTACTATTTTAGGAAATAAATAATGGCGTAATTATGACCTGTTAACTAACACAAAACTAATTAGCCGTTGTAAAAATACAAATAACTAATTAGTTATTGGGTTCTTGGATGTGGGATAAAACTTAACTATGAAACAGAGCAAACAATGTAAGCAAGTCCTTACATTTACTGCATTTGGCGAGTCCAATTAATGTCATCGTTAACGAGTACAAACATTAATATCTTGTTTGCTGATTGGACGTAATGATGATTGGTAATGAAGAGAAATGTGTGGCTTATTTTGGTATTTCAAGTTTGTGTATGAACAAGTTTTTGAGATACAGTATAACGCCAGGATGTCAGCAGGGATACCCGGAACAATAGGAAGGTGATACCGAACAGGAGATCCAATCCTATGCAGTGCTAGTAACAAAGGTTCCACTAATACTATTATATAGTGGGTTTTTGTCTACCTTAACCTAAAACGCATGGTTTCATATTTGAAACGAGTGTACTGAATGTCTAATTTTAAATTGTATCAAAATTTAAAATTCGCATTCCCCCACCCTCGTAATTAATATATATCGATAAAATAATTATAATGGTATATATAAACCAAACCACTTTCTTGGTGAAATTGAGTAATAACACTGTTATTAATAAAGTCGTCGGAAAATATCTCACAAGTTAATGACTACAAGCGACAAATTTTGCTTGAATGCATGTTTAGATCCGAAAACCGGTAACAGCGCAGTTTGTTTAACAATGTTATTATGACAATTAATAATCATGCTTTTGTTGAGGAGTACAAAATTTATTACATCGATAATTTCAGATCAAAGCTTCCTGTCGTAGAATAGTCTTTATTATTAAAGACAAACGTTGTAAAATGTCGAAATTAGTGTTTACGAGGAATCTCATTGATCACGGGATAAACACCCCGCTACCAACTGTTTTCTAATTTTTGTTAACATAAAATTTCATATTCACTCAATGAAAGACGGTGTTCATTGACTGTTATAACCCACATTCAAAAATAAACTTATCGGTACTCAAGTGGCATACCACAGGGCTTTTTAAAAACATATTATAAAAGGAACACAATTAAACAGGTGATAATTATGAGGAGATTACTATTATACCTGTAATACCCACTATCAGAGGTGGGGTTATGTCAATTGTGGAATATTGAAATAAATTTTCACATGAGAAGCGTTAGCTTCACATTACTTGCCACGTTAGGTGTCTCGCATATAATATGCTACGACATCAAATGATAATTAATGGCTAGCAAGCTTCTTCTATAAAATCGAGCAATTTGGTAGATTCAGTTTTAACTCTCTTCGTTCTCACGGGAGTGTTCTGAATAGTGTTGCTTTAAATGCCTTTGCAGCTTTGAGTGTTGCGATTTATTGATGATCGGTTAGAAAAAGTGCAAACCATAACTTCTGAAAATAAAGTAGTCTATTGTGTGATTGGTACGAATAGTGTTTGATAGTGCAGGTAATGGATGTGTTTAGAGTTGTTTCTGTGATTTTTTATTTTGTGTGGAGAACTAAAAATCGCGAAAAAATTTTCACTCTAAACCCCCAAAACACATCTCTCGTTTTTGAAGAGATCTGTTCGTATTAAAATTTTTATTACCACGTTTATTATAACGGCAGTTTATAAGAAATTGGGGCAAGAAGATTTATGGGCTTAGCATCCTGTCGATTGGAAAGTACCCACCAAGCACTGAGATTATATGACAAGTGAATGTCTTGATACAATGTTGGGTATCACGGAGAGCAGGTAATAATCGACACTAGGAATTCAGCAGAGCGTGGCGTCTCCTCTAGATAAACCTCGGATTACAGTTAGTGACCTTGTCCAATCAAGGCTTTGCACTTACGAAACCTTCCCGTCGTAGAGTGACGCTCCTGGATATATTAATTGTACTCGAGTAACTCTGTCGGCTCCTAAGATGGGATTAATTCTTAGTCTACCGTTGGGGTACA